CGTTAAATATCGCTTATTTTCATAGAAATCCCTGTTTTTCCCCTTAAATATCGCTGATTTTCATAGAAATCCCTGTTTTTCCCCTGAAATATCGCTTATTTTCATAGAAATCCCTGTTTTTCCCCTGAAATATCGCTTATTTTCATAGAAATCCCTGTTTTTAACCTGAAATATCGCTTATTTTCATAGAAATCCCTGTTTTTCCCCTGAAATATCACTTATTTTCATAGAAATCCCTGTTTTTCCCCTGAAATATCGCTTATTTTCCTAGTAATCCCTGTTTTTCAAGAGAAATATCGCTTATTTTCATAGAAATCCCTGTTTTTCACCTTAAATATCGCTTATTTTAATAGAAATCCCAGTTGTTCAACAGAAATATCGCTTATTTTCCTAGAAATCCCTGTTTTTCCCCTTAAATATCGCTTATTTTCATAAAAATCCCTGTTGTTCAACTGAAATATCGCTTATTTTCATAGAAATCCCTGTTTTTCCCCTGAAATATCGCTTATTTTAATAGAAATCCCTGTTTTTCCCCTGAAATATCGCTTATTTTCATAAAAATCCCTGTTGTTCCCCATAAATATCGCTTATTTTCATAGAAATCCCTGTTTTTCCCCTTAAATATCACTTATTTTCATAGAATTCCCTGTTTTTCCCCTTAAATATAGCTTATTTTCATAGAAATCCCTGTTTTTCCCCTGAAATATCGCTTATTTTCATAGAAATCCCTGTTTTTACCTGAAATATCGCTTATTTTCATAGAAATCCTTGTTTTTCACCTGAAATATCGCTTATTTTCCTAGAAAAACCTGTTTTTCACGTTAAATATCGCTTATTTTCATAGAAATCCCTGTTTTTAACCTGAAATATCGCTTATTTTCATAGAAATCCCTGTTTTTCCCCTGAAATATCGCTTATTTTCATAGAAATCCCTGTTTTTCAACTGAAATATCGCTTTTTTTCCAAGAAATCCCTGTTTTTCCCCTTAAATATCGCTTACTTTCATAGAAATCCCTGTTTTTCACCTGAAATATCGCTTATTTTCATAGAAATCCCTGTTTTTCACCTGAAATATCGCTTATTTTCATAGAAATCCCTGTTTTTCCCCATAAATATCGCTTATTTTCATAGAAATCCCTGTTTTTAACCACTAAATATCGCTTATTTTCCTTGAAAAACCTGTTTTTCCCCTGAAATATGGCTTATTTTCCTAGAAATCCCTGTTTTTCACCTGAAATATGGCTTATTTTCATAAAAATCCCTGTTTTTCCCCTTAAATATGGCTTATTTTCATAAAAATCCCTGTTTTTCCCCTGAAATATTGCTTATTTTCATAGAAATCCTTGTTTTTCCCATTAAATATCGCTTATTTTCATAGAAATCCCTGTTTTTCCCCTGAAATATCACTTATTTTCATAGAAATCCCTGTTTTTCACCTGAAATATCGCTTATTTTCATAGAAATCCCTATTTTTCCCCTGAAATATCACTTATTTTCATAGAAATCCCTGTTTTTAACCTGAAATATCGCTTATTTTCCTAGAAATCCCTGTTTTTCACCTGAAATATCGCTTATTTTCATAGAAATCCCTGTTTTTCACCTGAAATATCGCTTATTTTCATAAAAATCCCTGTTGTTCAACTGAAATATCGCTTATTTTCATAGAAATCCCTGTTTTTCCCCTGAAATATCGCTTATTTTCATAGAAATCCCTGTTTTTAACCCTTAAATATCGCTGATTTTCATAGAAATCCCTGTTTTTCCCCTGAAATATCACTTATTTTCGTAGAAATCCCTGTTTTTCACCTGAAATATCGCTTATTTTCATAGAAATCCCTGTTTTTCACCTTAAATATCACTTATTTTCGTAGATATCCCTGTTTTTAACCCTTAAATATCGCTTATTTTCATAGAAATCCGTTTTTTCCATTCAATATCGCTTATTTTCATAGAAATCCCTGTTTTTCCCCTGAAATATCGCTTATTTTCCTAGAAATCCCTGTTTTTAACCTGAAATATCGATTATTTTCCTAGAAATCCCTGTATTTCCCCGAAAATATCGCTTATTTTCATAGAAATCCTTGTTTTTCACCTGAAATATCGCTTATTTTCATAGAAATCCCTGTTTTTCCCCTGAAATATCGCTTATTTTCATAGAAATCCCTGTTTTTCCCCTGAAATATCGCTTATTTTCATAGAAATCCCTGTTTTTCACCTTAAATATCACTTATTTTCCTAGAAATCCCTGTATTTCCCCGAAAATATCGCTTATTTTCATAGAAATCCCTGTTTTTCCCCTGAAATATCGCTTATTTTCATAGAAATCCCTGTTTTTCCCCTTAAATATCACTTATTTTCATAGAAATCCCTGTTTTTCCCCTGAAATATCGCTTATTTTCATAGAAATCCCTGTTTTTCACGTTAAATATCGCTTATTTTCATAGAAATCCCTGTTTTTCCCCTTAAATATCGCTGATTTTCATAGAAATCCCTGTTTTTCCCCTGAAATATCGCTTATTTTCATAGAAATCCCTGTTTTTCCCCTGAAATATCGCTTATTTTCATAGAAATCCCTGTTTTTAACCTGAAATATCGCTTATTTTCATAGAAATCCCTGTTTTTCCCCTGAAATATCACTTATTTTCATAGAAATCCCTGTTTTTCCCCTGAAATATCGCTTATTTTCCTAGTAATCCCTGTTTTTCAAGAGAAATATCGCTTATTTTCATAGAAATCCCTGTTTTTCACCTTAAATATCGCTTATTTTAATAGAAATCCCAGTTGTTCAACAGAAATATCGCTTATTTTCCTAGAAATCCCTGTTTTTCCCCTTAAATATCGCTTATTTTCATAAAAATCCCTGTTGTTCAACTGAAATATCGCTTATTTTCATAGAAATCCCTGTTTTTCCCCTGAAATATCGCTTATTTTAATAGAAATCCCTGTTTTTCCCCTGAAATATCGCTTATTTTCATAAAAATCCCTGTTGTTCCCCATAAATATCGCTTATTTTCATAGAAATCCCTGTTTTTCCCCTTAAATATCACTTATTTTCATAGAATTCCCTGTTTTTCCCCTTAAATATAGCTTATTTTCATAGAAATCCCTGTTTTTCCCCTGAAATATCGCTTATTTTCATAGAAATCCCTGTTTTTACCTGAAATATCGCTTATTTTCATAGAAATCCTTGTTTTTCACCTGAAATATCGCTTATTTTCCTAGAAAAACCTGTTTTTCCCCTGAAATATCGCTTATTTTCATAGAAATCCCTGTTTTTAACCTGAAATATCGCTTATTTTCATAGAAATCCCTGTTTTTCCCCTGAAATATCGCTTATTTTCATAGAAATCCCTGTTTTTCAACTGAAATATCGCTTTTTTTCCAAGAAATCCCTGTTTTTCCCCTTAAATATCGCTTACTTTCATAGAAATCCCTGTTTTTCACCTGAAATATCGCTTATTTTCATAGAAATCCCTGTTTTTCACCTGAAATATCGCTTATTTTCATAGAAATCCCTGTTTTTCCCCTGAAATATCGATTATTTTCATAGAAATCCCTGTTTTTCACCTGAAATATCGCTTATTTTCATAGAAATCCCTGTTTTTCCCCTTAAATATCACTTATTTTCATAGAAATCCCTGTTTTTCCCCTGAAATATCGCTTATTTTCATAGAAATCCCTGTTTTTCACCTGAAATATCGCTTATTTAAATAGAAATCCCTGTTTTTCCCCTGAAATATCGCTTATTTTCATAGAAATCCCTGTTTTTCCCCTGAAATATCGCTTATTTTCATAGAAATCCCTGTTTTTCCCCTGAAATATCGCTTATTTTCCTAGAAATCCCTGTTTTTAACCTGAAATATCGATTATTTTCCTAGAAATCCCTGTATTTCCCCGAAAATATCGCTTATTTTCATAGAAATCCTTGTTTTTCACCTGAAATATCGCTTATTTTCATAGAAATCCCTGTTTTTCCCCTGAAATATCGCTTATTTTCATAGAAATCCCTGTTTTTCCCCTGAAATATCGCTTATTTTCATAGAAATCCCTGTTTTTCACCTGAAATATCACTTATTTTCCTAGAAATCCCTGTATTTCCCCGAAAATATCGCTTATTTTCATAGAAATCCCTGTTTTTCCCCTGAAATATCGCTTATTTTCATAGAAATCCCTGTTTTTCCCCTTAAATATCACTTATTTTCATAGAAATCCCTGTTTTTCCCCTGAAATATCGCTTATTTTCATAGAAATCCCTGTTTTTCACGTTAAATATCGCTTATTTTCATAGAAATCCCTGTTTTTCCCCTTAAATATCGCTGATTTTCATAGAAATCCCTGTTTTTCCCCTGAAATATCGCTTATTTTCATAGAAATCCCTGTTTTTCCCCTGAAATATCGCTTATTTTCCTAGTAATCCCTGTTTTTCAAGAGAAATATCGCTTATTTTCATAGAAATCCCTGTTTTTCACCTTAAATATCGCTTATTTTAATAGAAATCCCAGTTGTTCAACAGAAATATCGCTTATTTTCCTAGAAATCCCTGTTTTTCCCCTTAAATATCGCTTATTTTCATAAAAATCCCTGTTGTTCAACTGAAATATCGCTTATTTTCATAGAAATCCCTGTTTTTCCCCTGAAATATCGCTTATTTTAATAGAAATCCCTGTTTTTCCCCTGAAATATCGCTTATTTTCATAAAAATCCCTGTTGTTCCCCATAAATATCGCTTATTTTCATAGAAATCCCTGTTTTTCCCCTTAAATATCACTTATTTTCATAGAATTCCCTGTTTTTCCCCTTAAATATAGCTTATTTTCATAGAAATCCCTGTTTTTCCCCTGAAATATCGCTTATTTTCCTAGAAATCCCTGTTTTTAACCACTAAATATCGCTTATTTTCATAGAAATCCCTGTTTTTAACCACTAAATATCGCTTATTTCCCTAGAAATCCCTGTTGTTCAACTGAAATATCGCTTATTTTCATAGAAATCCTTATTTTTCACCTTAAATATCGCTTATTTTCATAGAAATCCCTGTTTTTCAACTGAAATATCGCTTTTTTTCCAAGAAATCCCTGTTTTTCACCATAAATATCGATTATTTTCATAGAAATCCCTATTTTTAACCTTAAATATCGCTTATTTTCATAAAAATCCCTGTTGTTCCCCTTAAATATCGCTTACTTTCATAGAAATCCCTGTTTTTCCCCTTAAATATGGCTTATTTTCATAGAAATCCCTGTTTTTAACCTGAAATATCGCTTATTTTCATAGAAATTCCTGTTTTTCCCCTTAAATATCGCTTATTTTCATAGAAATCCCTGTTTTTCACCTGAAATATCGCTGATTTTCATAGAAATCCCTGTTTTTCACCTGAAATATCGCTTATTTTAATAGAAATCCCTGTTTTTCCCCTGAAATATCGCTTATTTTCATAGAAATCCCTGTTTTTACCTGAAATATCGCTTATTTTCATAGAAATCCTTGTTTTTCACCTGAAATATCGCTTATTTTCCTAGAAAAACCTGTTTTTCCCCTGAAATATCGCTTATTTTCATAAAAATCCCTGTTTTTCCCCTTAAATATCGCTTATTTTCATAGAAATCCCTGTTTTTAACCTGAAATATCGCTTATTTTCATAGAAATCCCTGTTTTTCCCCTGAAATATCGCTTATTTTCATAGAAATCCCTGTTTTTCAACTGAAATATCGCTTTTTTTTCCAAGAAATCCCTGTTTTTCCCCTTAAATATCGCTTACTTTCATAGAAATCCCTGTTTTTCACCTGAAATATCGCTTATTTTCATAGAAATCCCTGTTTTTCACCTGAAATATCGCTTATTTTCATAGAAATCCCTGTTTTTCCCCTGAAATATCGATTATTTTCATAGAAATCCCTGTTTTTCCCCTGAAATATCGCTTATTTTCATAGAAATCCCTGTTTTTCCCCTTAAATATCACTTATTTTCATAGAAATCCCTGTTTTTCCCCTGAAATATCGCTTATTTTCATAGAAATCCCTGTTTTTCACCTGAAATATCGCTTATTTAAATAGAAATCCCTGTTTTTCCCCTGAAATATCGCTTATTTTCATAGAAATCCCTGTTTTTCCCCTGAAATATCGCTTATTTTCATAGAAATCCCTGTTTTTCACCTGAAATATCGCTTATTTTCATAGAAATCCCTGTTTTTCCCCTGAAATACCGCTTATTTTCATAAAAATCCCTGTTTTTCCCCTTAAATATCGCTTATTTTCATAGAAATTCCTGTTTTTCACCTTAAATATCGCTTATTTTCATAGAAATCCCTGTTTTTCACCTGAAATATCGCTTGTTTTCATAGAAATCCCTGTTTTTCCCCATAAATATCGCTTATTTTCATAGAAATCCCTGTTTTTTAACCTGAAATATCGCTTATTTTCATAGAAATCCCTGTTTTTCACCTGAAATATCGTTTATTTTCATAGAAATCCCTGTTTTTCCCCTGAAATATCGCTTATTTTCATAGAAATCCCTGTTTTTCACCTGAAATATCGCTTATTTACATAGAAATTCCTCTTTTTCACCTTAAATATCGCTTATTTTCATAGAAATCCCTGTTTTTCCCCTGAAATATCGCTTATTTTCATAGAAATCCCTGTTTTTCCCCTTAAATATCACTTATTTTCATAGAAATCCCTGTTTTTAACCACTAAATACCGCTTATTTTCATAGAAATCCCTGTTTTTCACCTGAAATATCGCTTATTTTCATAGAAATCCCTGTTTTTAACCACTAGATATCGCTTATTTTCCTAGAAATCCTTGTTTTTCCCCTGGAATATCGCTTATTTTCATAGAAATCCCTGTTTTTCACCTGAAATATCGCTTATTTTCATAGAAATCCTTGTTTTTCACCTGAAATATCGCTTATTTTCATAGAAATCCCTGTTTTTCCCCTGAAATATCGCTTATTTTCATCGAAATCCCTGTTTTTCACCTGAAATAGCGCTTATTTTCATAAAAATCCCTGTTTTTCACCTGAAATATCGCTTATTTTCATAAAAATCCCTGTTTTTCCCCTTAAATATCGCTTATATTCATAAAAATCCCTGTTTTTCCCCTGAAATATCACTTATTTTCATAGAAATCCCTGTTTTTCCCCTTAAATATCGCTTATTTTCATAGAAATCCCTGTTTTTAACCTGAAATATCGCTTATTTTCATAGAAATCCCTGTTTTTCACCTGAAATATCGCTTATTTTCCTAGTAATCCCTGTTTTTAACCTGAAATATCGCTTGTTTTCCTAGAAATCCCTGTTTTTCACCTGAAATATCGCTTATTTTCATAGAAATCCCTGTTTTTCCCCTGAAATATCGCTTATTTTCATAGAAATCCCTGTTTTTAACCTGAAATATCGCTTATTTTCCTAGAAATCCCTGTTTTTCAACTGAAATATCGCTTTTTTTCCAAGAAATCCCTGTTTTTCACCTGAAATATCGCTTATTTTCATAGAAATCCCTGTTTTTAACCTGAAATATCGCTTATTTTCCTAGAAATCCCTGTTTTTCACCTGAAATATCGCTTATTTTCATAGAAATCCCTGTTTTTCCCCTGAAATATTGCTTATTTTCATAGAAATCCCTGTTTTTCCCCTTAAATATCGCTTATTTTCATAGAAATCCCTGTTGTTCAACTGAAATATCGCTTATTTTCATAGAAATCCCTATTTTTCACCTTAAATATCGCTTATTTTCATAGAAATCCCTGTTTTTCAACTGAAATATCGCTTTTTTTCCAAGAAATCCCTGTTTTTCCCCTTAAATATCGCTCACTTTCATAGAAATCCCTGTTTTTCACCTGAAATATCGCTTATTTTCATAGAAATCCCTGTTTTTCCCCTGAAATATCGATTATTTTCATAGAAATCCCTGTTTATAACCTGAAATATCGCTTATTTTCATAGAAATCCCTGTTTTTCCCCTGAAATATCACTTATTTTCATAGAAATCCCTGTTTTTCCCCTGAAATATCACTTATTTTCATAGAAATCCCTGTTTTTCCCCTGAAATATCGCTTATTTTCACAGAAATCCGTGTTTTTCCCCTGAAATATGGCTTATTTTCACAGAAATCCCTGTTTTTCCCCATAAATATCGCTTATTTTCATAGAAATCCCTGTTTTTCCCCTGAAATATCGCTTATTTTCATAGAAATCCCTGTTTTTAACCACTAAATATCGCTTATTTTCACCGAAATCCCTGTTTTTCACCTGAAATATCGCTTATTTTCATAGAAATCCCTGTTTTTCCACTTAAATATCGCTTATTTTCCTAGAAATCCCTGTTTTTCACCTGAAATATGGCTTATTTTCATAGAAATCCCTGTTTTTCCCCTGAAATATCGCTTATTTTCATAGAAATCCCTGTTTTTCCCCTGAAATATCACTTATTTTCATAGAAATCCCTGTTTTTCACCTGAAATATTGCTTATTTTCATAGAAATCCCTGCTTTTCCCCTTAAATATCGCTTATTTTCATAGAAATCCCTGTTTTTCACCTGAAATATCGCTTATTTTCATAGAAATCCCTGTTTTTCACCTTAAATATCACTTATTTTCATAGATATCCCTGTTTTTAACCCTTAAATATCAAGTATTTTCATAAAAATCCCTGTTGTTCAACTGAAATATCGCTTATTTTCATAGAAATCCCTGTTTTTAACCACTAAATATCGCTTATTTTCATAGAAATCCCTATTTTTAACCTGAAATATCGCTTATTTTCATAAAAATCCCTGTTTTTCCCCTTAAATATCGCTTATTTTCATAGAAATCCCTGTTTTTCCCCTGAAATATCACTTATTTTCATAGAAATCCCTGTTTTTCCCCTGAAATATCGCTTATTTTCATAGAAATCCCTGTTTTTCCCCTGAAATATCACTTATTTTCATAGAAATCCCTATTGTTCAACTGAAATATTGCTTATTTTCATAGAAATCCCTGCTTTTCCCCTTAAGTATCGCTTATTTTCATAGAAATCCCTGTTTTTCACCTGAAATATCGCTTATTTTAATAGAAATCCCTGTTTTTCACCTGAAATATCGCTTATTTTCATAGAAATCCCTGTTTTTCCCCTGAAATATCGATTATTTTCATAGAAATCCCTGTTTTTCACCTGAAATATCACTTATTTTCATAGAAATCCCTGTTTTTCCCCTAAAATATCGCTTATTTTCATAGAAATCCCTCTTTTTAACCCTTAAATATCGCGTATTTTCATTAAAATCCCTGTTTTTCACCTGAAATATCACTTATTTTCCTAGAAATCCCTGTATTTCCCCGAAAATATCGCTTATTTTCATAGAAATCCCTGTTTTTAACCTTAAATATCGCTTATTTTCATAGAAATCCCTGTTTTTCCCCATAAATATCACTTATTTTCATAGAAATCCCTGTTTTTCCCCTGAAATATCGCTTATTTTCATAGAAATCCCTGTTTTTCCCCATAAATATCGCTTATTTTCATAGAAATCCCTGTTTTTCCCCTTAAATATCAATTATTTTCATAGAAATCCCTGTTTTTCACGTTAAATATCGCTTATTTTCATAGAAATCCCTGTTTTAACCTTAAATATCGCTTATTTTCATAGAAATCCCTGTTTTTCCCCTGAAATATCACTTATTTTCATAGAAATCCCTATTGTTCAACTGAAATATTGCTTATTTTCATAGAAATCCCTGCTTTTCCCCTTAAATATCGCTTATTTTCATAGAAATCCCTGTTTTTCACCTGAAATATCGCTTATTTTAATAGAAATCCCTGTTTTTAACCTGAAATATCGCTTATTTTCATAGAAATCCCTGTTTTTCCCCATAAATATCGCTTATTTTCATAGAAATCCCTGTTTTTCCCCTTAAATATCGCTTATTTTCATAGAAATCCCTGTTTTTAACCACTAAATATCGCTTATTTTCATAGAAATCCCTGTTTTTAACCAATAAATATCGCTTATTTTCCTAAAAAAACCTGTTTTTCCCCTGAAATATGGCTTATTTTCATAAAAATCCCTGTTTTTCCCCTTAAATATCGCTTATTTTCATAGAAATCCCTGTTTTTCCCCTGAAATATCGCTTATTTTCATAGAAATCCTTGTTTTTCCCCTTAAATATCGCTTATTTTCATAGAAATCCCTGTTTTTCACCTGAAATATCGCTTATTTTCATAGAAATCCCTGTTTTTAACCTGAAATATCGCTTATTTTCCTAGAAATCCCTGTTTTTCACCTGAAATATCGCTTATTTTCATAGAAATCCCTGTTTTTAATCTGAAATATCGCTTATTTTCATAAAAATCCCTGTTTTTCAACTGAAATATTGCTTATTTTCATAGAAATCCCTGTTTTTCCCCTTAAATATCACTTATTTTCATAGAAATCCCTGTTTTTAACCTGAAATATCGCTTATTTTCATAGAAATCCCTGTTTTTCCCCGAAAATATCGCTTATTTTCATAGAAATCCCTGTTTTTAACCACTAAATATCGCTTATTTTCCTAGAAAAACCTGTTTTTCCCCTGAAATATGGCTTATTTTCCTAGAAATCCCTGTTTTTCACCTGAAATATGGCTTATTTTCATAAAAATCCCTGTTTTTCCCCTTAAATATGGCTTATTTTCATAAAAATCCCTGTTTTTCCCCTTAAATATCGCTTATTTTCATAGAAATCCCTGTTTTTCCCATTAAATATCGCTTATTTTCATAGAAATCCCTGTTTTTCCCCTGAAATATCACTTATTTTCATAGAAATCCCTGTTTTTCACCTGAAATATCGCTTATTTTCATAGAAATCCCTGTTTTTCCCCTGAAATATCGCTTATTTTCATAGAAATCCCTGTTTTTAACCTGAAATATCGCTTATTTTCCTAGAAATCCCTGTTTTTCACCTGAAATATCGCTTATTTTCCTAGAAATCCCTGTTTTTCACCTGAAATATCGCTTATTTTCATAGAAATCCCTGTTGTTCAACTGAAATATCGCTTATTTTCCTAGAAATCCCTGTTTTTCCCCTGAAATATGGCTTATTTTCATAGAAATCCCTGTTTTTCACCTGAAATATCGCTTATTTTAATAGAAATCCCTGTTTTTCCCCTTAAATATCGCTTATTTTCGTAGAAATCCCTGTTTTTCACCTGAAATATCGCTTATTTTCATAGAAATCCCTGTTTTTCACCTTAAATATCACTTATTTTCATAGATATCCCTGTTTTTAACCCTTAAATATCGCTTATTTTCATAGAAATCCGTTTTTTCCATTCAATATCGCTTATTTTCATAGAAATCCCTGTTTTTCACCTGAAATATCGCTTATTTTCATAGAAATCCCTGTTTTTCACCTGAAATATCGCTTATTTTCATAGAAATCCCTCTTTTTAACCCTTAAATATCACGTATTTTCATTAAAATCCCTGTTGTTCAACTGAATATCGCTTATTTTCCTAGAAATCCCTATTTTTATCCTGAAATATCCCTTATTTTCATAGAAATCCCTGTTTTTCACCTGAAATATCGTTTATTTTCCTAGAAATCCCTGTTTTTAACCTGAAATATCGATTATTTTCCTAGAAATCCCTGTATTTCCCCGAAAATATCGCTTATTTTCATAGAAATCCTTGTTTTTCACCTGAAATATCGCTTATTTTCATAGAAATCCCTGTTTTTCCCCTGAAATATCGCTTATTTTCATAGAAATCCCTGTTTTTCCCCTGAAATATCGCTTATTTTCATAGAAATCCCTGTTTTTCACCTGAAATATCACTTATTTTCCTAGAAATCCCTGTTTTTCCCCTGAAATATCGCTTATTTTCATAGAAATCCCTGTTTTTCCCCTTAAATATCGCTTGTTTTCATAGAAATCCCTTTTTTTAACCTGAAATATCGCTTATTTTCATAGAAATCCCTGTTTTTAACCTGAAATATCGCTTATTTTCATAAAAATCCCTGTTTTTCCCCTTAAATATCGCTTATTTACATAGAAATCCCTGTTTTTCCCCTTAAATATCGCTTCTTTTCATAGAAATCCCTGTTTTTCCCCTGAAATATCGCTTATTTTCCTAGAAATCCCTGTTTTTCCCCTTAAATATCGCTTATTTTCATAGAAATCCCTGTTTTTAACCACTAAATATCGCTTATTTTCCTAGAAAAACCTGTTTTTCCCCTGAAATATCGCTTATTTTCATAGAAATCCCTGTTTTTCCCCTGAAATATCACTTATTTTCATAGAAATCCCTGTTTTTCCCCTGAAATATTGCTTATTTTCCTAGTAATCCCTGTTTTTCAAGAGAAATATCGCTTATTTTCATAGAAATCCCTGTTTTTAACCTTAAATATCGCTTATTTTAATAGAAATCCCAGTTGTTCAACAGAAATATCGCTTATTTTCCTAGAAATCCCTGTTTTTCCCCTGAAATATCGCTTATTTTCATAAAAATCCCTGTTGTTCAACTGAAATATCGCTTATTTTCATAGAAATCCCTGTTTTTCCCCTGAAATATCGCTTATTTTAATAGAAATCCCTGTTTTTCCCCTGAAATATCGCTTATTTTCATAAAAATCCCTGTTGTTCCCCATAAATATCGCTTATTTTCATAGAAATCCCTGTTTTTCCCCTTAAATATCGCTTATTTTCATAGAATTCCCTGTTTTTCCCCTTAAATATAGCTTATTTTCATAGAAATCCCTGTTTTTCCCCTTAAATATAGCTTATTTTCCTAGAAATCCCT